AAATCCGGCTGAGCCAACCCAATACAGCTGGTTTAACAGAAATCACAGAATCACAGAATGGCTTAGGTTGGAAGGGACCTTAGAGATCATCTAATCCAACCCCCTATGGGCAGGGATGCCCTTAACTAGGCCAGGTTGCTCAGCAACCTGAATATTTTTTAACCTTATTTTCAGGTGGATTTTTTCATTGTCTTCAAAGTGTATCTTTTAGGGAACAGACTTCCCTTCGGTTCCCTGGTTTGCTGTTTTACTTAAGGCAATCCTGAAGCGATAATGTAATAGAACCTATTTTTATTTTAATTATAAGATAATTTCTTAGCTGGTGTTATCGTTAAAGATTGCAAAGTGATTAGGTCTGTGACTAAGACAATATTTTAAAGTATTCGTTGTGGTAATTTCAGGAGAAATTGTAAATCAGTCTTGTCGTATGCCTGTGCACCTGGTCTTTCATACATAGCTTTTTATTTATTTTATTTTTAGTTGCATGAAAACAAAATATATACGTAGTTGAATATTATAGAGATTTTCTTGGAATTGGAGGTCCAAAATGATTAGATTGTCTATCATGTCTGGGCGCAGTTGAGTATCCTAATCCAGGCTGCAGCACTCGTGTGTGATACTTCCAGGGCTGTTTCTGGACTTGTTCCCCCTAGCAGAATGTTCAGCAAAAACTTTCAGACAGCTCTGCAGGCTGTTGAGCTCCATGCTTCACTGGAGAGTCACCTCAAAAATTTGAGCAATTTAAAATTCTCATAGTGGAAAAGAATAATTGTGAGTTTTAAATTGTTTGAATGTATAAACTCTGCCATAATGGTGGAAGCTTTAGCAGTTAATTTAGGCTGAATCAAGTCTGTGACACAGTAATATTTTTTGTTTTTCTAATCAGGTTAAAGCTGTATCAGTATCTCTAAGCAAAAACGACGGTCACCTGCAAAACATCTTTTCAGGACAGTGCTACAATTTTGTTTGTGTAAATGTAAGTAGTAACGATGCATGCTTTTTGTTTTGCACTTAGTCGTATTAGCAATGGTAAATAACTGCATATTTGAGTAACAAGTTGTTTGTTATTTCTATCCTTTTGGTGTGTCCGTTCCGATGTTTGTTCTTTCCACCGTGCACCTCGCTAGACCTTTGAGATACTGCCCTGTTCTTTCTCTCCTGGTTCTGCACTTCCGTCAGTGTGTTGTTGAACCAGTCATTAATTCTTCAACAAGAGGAATTCGTCTGAAAGTGATTTAAGATTTCCTGTCACAGATACTGTATTGAAGTGAATTGTCTCAAGAAGAGCTGTGTCATACATGTAGTCGTCTAGCTGTGCGTTACTACCGTGGTCTAAACTAGTGTTTCTCATTTTGGCCATGTGCATGCCGTGCAATCTGTGTTTGTGTGCCTCTGTGGGAACAGGAGGGTTTTAGATGAACCATACCTGGCACAAATCAAGATCGTTAAGCTTGTTATATATGTATTTCTTAAGGGTGATATTATTAATACCTCTTCTTTTGTTTTCAAACAGCTATAGCTTTTCCAGACAGAAACACTGCAAATACTTTAAAACCAACCAGATAAATCCCCCTAAACCAAAAAAGTGATGCATCTTTTTTAGCTAAATAACAGACCTTTGAATTCCGTTTTTATGAAATCATTCTATGTTTTCACTAATTGTAAACATTTATTTTCATTTAGGATAGAAAGTGCGCCATTCAAGAAACACGGCACCTAGTGGACATGTTGGAAAAATCAAATATTCCTCTCTTATATCCAGTTGTTCTTGTTTTGGTAGGTAACTCCTGCAGAAAGCATCTGAAGAAATGTTTTTCAACATTAGACTAGGTTGAAACTGCTGCTAGCTCTGAATAAAATTGTAAATTCAAGCTGCAAATTGGACTGTAAAGAGCATCTGCACTGTAAGGAGTATTTGCACTCCAGCAAACGCACTGCATGCTGTTAGGAAATAAACCAACACTGGCAAATGACAATTTATTAGTTACATATTTCTGTGGAAGACTCACTGTGACTGGTCATTGAACTGTGAACTCCTGCTTTACTGTTGTGTTCCACCTCTGCTGGGGATGCTGCACCTGATGTGCTCTGCTTGAATGCTCACTTGAAGCAGCATTCAGTGGCTTTATTTTTTTTTTCTGTGCTGTGTGGTTTATTCGAAGTGTTAAAATTACTGTTGCTTTTCTAGTCCAGGTATTAGAAATTAACTTTGCAGTATAACTTTAATACATACTTCCTGAGAAGTTGTAAAACTGAAGTATCTATTCTGGTATGTGGCAGAAGTTTCGAGGGGTGTTTTTGGCTGAAGTTCTCATTATTTGACTATTGGTGCCAGAATAATTTAACAGTTCATGTGGATGACAGCTGAAGGTGTACATGACTTTTATTCTGCTCACACTGTCAAAGAGAGAAAATATGAGCAGATTGAAGAGTCTCCATGCAGTGTAAGCAGATCCAATTAATTCTGTCATGTTCTCTGGCTTAACAGGTAGGGATGAGAAGTGTTGGGTTGAATGAGGGTCATTAATGTCATGTGTCACAAGGAGTGTGCCTCAGGACTACATATATTAAACTCTGCAGCAATAGCACAAGATAATATGATGTGATTTAAAAATATAGTTCCGTATATGAAGTTCTTGAAAGAAGAATAAGTAGGGGCCTGAATATTTTCTGAAGTGTATAGTCTAGTGATCTGGAGAATTCTCAATTTTAAGCTTAATCTGAAATTTAAGCGATGAAATCTCATTATTGATTTAACAAATAAATGAAAAATTATGAAGATCAATTACTTTTAAAAATGAGGAAAGTTAAATCCTTACCTATTGTATGTTGTTGTCTTGGAGCGACCTACTGTGATTCTGGAAACATGAGTGTTTAGAGCATAATTTCTAGACAGTCTTTTTTTTTTTTGACCTTATTTCTGTGGAAGTTAGAGCTTTAATTTTACTAAATTTTCAAAGATACATTCTTTCTGCCTTTCATACTGGGAGCGATGACACGCGTTCAAATCTGTTGCCCATTTACAAGGCTACTGAACGTGCAGAATGCTCTTTTCTGGGCTGAGGATATTTTCAGTAGTCGTCTGTCAATAATATAAAAAAACATTTTTATCTGTTAAATTCTAAGGGTGTGCAGGTAAAGTTGGAATTGTTAATCAACTAGGTAATACTGCAGTGTTAAAAACATGCTTAGTCTGTGCTTGATTCATAGCTATATTCTCTACTCTGGACTTCAAATCAAATGCTTTTTTAGTGTAACACATGGAATGCGAGAACTTTTTTTTAATAATTGTAGCTACAAATATTCTGAAATTAATATTTCCTGAGAAGTAGGTATGAATGCAAATAATGCTCACACAAACTCACCACGAAACTCAGGGTTTGCCCCTGAGATACTAGATCTTAAAGTCATTATAGAATCCAGCACCATTTTTAATGAAATTGTACTTACTTGAGCAGCCTGCAGCAAGCACAAATTATTTAGATAGACACTTTTTAAAACAGCCTCAGGAGAAAATCATACATTTAATCCCTTTACTGTACTCCAAATCCATCAGTTGTTCCTGACAACTACTTGAAATTTCCCGAAACTGGAGTGTGGGAGAGATTTTTCTCCCACAAGCAGGAAGCAATTGCTAACACTTCAAAGACAAATACAAATAGATTTTTTAAAGGTATATTTAAAAAAAAATGAAGTACTCTAGCTATAAAAACACATTTTATGCTACACTTCTGAATTTTATGGAGTTACCATGCTATCTTTTAGAAATACAAGAAAGAGGAAACAGGAAGACTGGAAAGTATGTTTTAAATGACTAAAGAATTAGCTAAACAAATCATTGTCTCTTATTAATCACTAGTAACTATTTTAGGTCCTTTAAATGTCTGATCCCTAAAACTTACTACAGATGGTGTGGCTGGGGGATAGAAACTTCCTTCAGCGGTCTTTAGTTAAATTCAGTGTTGGATGTCCTCTTCACTACGACTTGTGACTGGGATTCTCCTCAGCTTTATTCTTTGCTGTATACTTGATTTAACATAAAACTTGAACGGGTTGTTTCTGAGAAGTCCTGTAAGACACTTCATTTTGATGTGAGAGGGCACATTAATAATTCTTAGGAAAATGTGACTCAGAATTTTAAGCACTATGAAGACATTTAAATGCATAGATTTTAGGTACTAGCTGTCCAGGAAATGTTATTTTCTACTCTCAAGAGAAAAACTCTTGCTGGTAGTGAAGAATTGAAAGTACAAATATGGAGAGCAGCTAACTGCTCCCGTTCTAACCTCATAACCAGGAGCAGTCTCAGGCAGACTTTGGCATAATTGGGAAGTTTTTGTCTGTTTTTTGATGTCGGGACACTTGGAACGTCTTTGTAACAATCTGATAATTAAGAGAATCAGTTTGATTTTTCCTTTGGATAGTCAGCTTCTTCAGCTGTAAAAATAGCAGGTGGTGTTATTGTGTCAACTTGTCTGTTTAAACAGCCTGGGGAGAATTATCCTCATAAAAGGATAAGCTTGCACTGGACACGATGACTTCTGTCCATAGTCCCACCTATAAATTGCTCCAGATTTCCAAGTCTGTCCTTTTTTCTGGTGCCAGACTGGAGATTTTGGGGACATCGGTGAGCTAAAGCAGTAACTGCACTGCTGTTTCTGGACACAGCAGAGAAGGAAAGATTAGTGTTACAGAACTCGGAAGCACGGAGGTAAAGTTCAGGTATAAAGGGAACTTGAAATAATTTTCCCAAGCACAGATCTCTAGGACTGCCTCTAGACTCCTGCCTCTGTAGTACTTAAAATAGGTTTTATATCAATGGAATCGTTCAGTCAGAGAAATATTTTCTCTTTCTTTAAAGGGAAAAAGGTGTTTCTGCTACTAACAGATGCTGAAACTTTATATTTACAAATAAGTCATCCTCAGTTTTGATTTCTACATTTAACAAAAGCCTTGTAAAATAAACTGATTAGACTGTGACCTTGGGAAGGGATTGAACTAGTTGATACTTCCCTGAAGCTCAGGTCTTGTAAGACCCACCGTGTTTGCGCAGCATCCCTGCTGTGTGAGACCTGCCTTTCCGTGCCCAGGAGCTCCTGACAGGTATATCTCGGCCTTCCTTTGGGGTACTTTTTAAACCTCAAGTGTTATCTTGAAGTTAATTGAATTTAGGCAGGTAATATGCTTTACTGAAATGGTAGTTAATTCAGAATGAATCTTCAGAGAATGCAGTTCCATCTAGAAATGCTTGAAGATGCTTAAGAAAAACACCTGTACTTCTCTAGTGCCCTGCTATTAAAAAAAAAAAAGAAATCTGAGAAAGGTAGGTTAGAGTTTAGCGTATAAAAATGACATACTAAAAGCTGGCAGTCTTAAATATCACACGATGGAAAAAATGGAAATACTTTTGTTTTATTTTTCCTTTTTCTTATTTGTACCTTTGCAGGTGCACATGGATGTTTCAGAAAATGCTTCCTTCAGCATTGGGATGGAAGAACTAAGTAGGATCAAGAAATTTGCAAGGGAAGCGAAAAAGCAAAATATTTTGGTTTATGGTCTAGTTATCCAATATAAGGTATGCAATTCTTTTTCTATATACAAATCACCATCTTTTCTGATTTATATGGCTAATGATAGAATCTTCATTTAAAATAAAATCAAAGGGAAATAAATGTGACATGAAAAAGATTTTTGAGGAACGTTCTTGCCTGTTCTTGTTCAAAATTCCAAAGAGCCTGTAGTTACAGGCAAAAATGCAAGCTTTTTGATTAGTGAGGAATAAATGTTAAACATTTTCCAGAAGCATGCAAAAATGTCAGAGCCCATTTTTCCTTTTTGCTTTTCTGCTTTGAAACTTCTGTTTTGCAGCATTAGAAAAGTGAAAATTGTGGAAGTACGTTTTGTGTGCAGGTGACAGAGAGGACATGGCCTGTAGGTGGTGAAGCAAACTGTCCAATGTCTGCAATAGCAGCAAATTGTCTCAGCTGGAGGCAAAACAAGTTAGCACCACAGCATCCGTAGTACATTCAAAAGCTATTTAAAAGAAACCATTTTGCCTGGGGAGCATGTTCTGCCAACAAGAAAAGTGCCTTGCCTCCAGTGCAGATGTAGATTTTCGAGTTTCTTAACTTCGTCAACAGTGAAAGAAGAATTAAGTTAGATAGTCAACTGAAATTTTAATAAAGAAGAAGAAATGTAATCAACTGATTTTTTTTTTAGGTTAAGTTAGGTGTTTAGGTTTGTATATTACTGTTTAAACACGGCTTTTTATGGTATACCAAGGACTTGATTTTCCTTCCAAATTCTGTTGGCTTTATTAAGAGATATGGGTATCAATACCTGTCAGCTTATGCTTTTGCAGACTTTTAATCCCAAAGAACACTAATAATATTATTATATGACATTAGATGTCACTTTTTTTGTACAACATAAAAGCCTGCACAACTATTTTCAGTCTTTTTCCTGGTACTGTCAAACTCCTTTTTTTCTCTGGTGAATTCTGGCTTTCTTTGGTAAAAATCATTTGAATAACTGTAGAAATGAAGCTCTAAGAGGTGATGAAGGTGATATCATGGTAAAAAGTAACATTGCAAATATCACTTTAGTTTCTTCCTTTTAAACTTCATTTCTGTATATATGATTTTTATGCAAGTGAATCAAATGTATGTGGATGATGAAAGTTAGTAAAACTGACTGGATAAAAGGAAAAACTTTTTAATATGAATTTTTGTGAACGTGGCCCAAAACATCGTATCAGTAACAGGCACGTATAACAACAACGTGAGATCTGAATGGAAATTCTTGGTCTTTGGTGGTAAAAGATTTGAAGCAGAACACTGCTTCCTTTATTGAAAATAAAAAGCTAGAATGATTTCTTAACTTCCTTGCAAGCACAGTCATAACTTATTAGCATGGAAAAAGTATTATATACAGTAAAACAATTTGCAAAGTCAGAAATCTGCTTCTAGCTGTCATGTTTTAAAATGGCTTTAAATGATGTCCTCCTTCATGTACGAATCTAGAAGTGACGTAACCCAAACTTTATTGCTGGTCTAGGGGAGAGCGAGAGAAGGGGGGGTTGCGAACAAAAGCAATTTAAGTGAAAAGACATCTTTAAGAGGTTGGGGGGTTTTTTTGCTTTATTTTAGTTTTTTTTAATTCCACAGCACAATTTGAGAATCACCAAGATATTTTACTTTTAGTACGACCCATTAGCAAATAGGTGAATGCGTCGGTGAATTCCATGCTTGAGGGTGGAATTTCACCCTGGCATGATGGGGGGTCCACAGGTAGCAGGAACACAAAAAGCACCTGCTGATGCGACGCAGGGCGTTCAGCCTGTTGTCGCACTAACTGCTGCCCGTATCCGCTTTCCAGAAGTCCCTGAAAGCTACAGTTTGTTTTAGGAAAAGTGATGACAGATAATTTCGCTAAGCTTCCCTCTTGCTGACAGGTTATATCATCACAACCAGACACGCATGGTTGACAGACACACTTCTGCTAATTCAAAAATAAGGATAAAACGTAAGGGTCAAAGAATTTATTGAGACGTGTGACTGTGGTAATACTGAGGTGAAGTTATTTTGCATCTAGAATGGTTATATGATTAGTCAGTGTGATATAGTGATATAAAAGAATATGGGGGCATCCTTAAAGATTTTGCATTAGAAAAGTAAATCAGTTGGAATAAATATTTTTTGAGATACATAATTGTTTCTTATGCTTTGGAAATGAAAGTGAAATGCTTTTGAAACCAAGATGTACATTACTTACAGCATTGGAAGAAAAAGTATAAGTCTTCATTTACATTTCTTAAAAGCCATGTTTATTTGGTGTTTAGAAAAAGGTATCAAGTATTTCTGTAAATATTTGATACTCGAAGCTAAACAGGAGAATTAAAGCAAAAGTTTTTAATGTGCTTTATGAATGACCTGCTTTGTACCTTTCATTTGCTCAAAATGGGTGCATCTTCATGGCTTGTACACAGTAGTTACTGCTCTCATAAGTATCAGACATAGAATACCAAATTACTGATACAAAGATTGAATCCAGTTCGTAGCAGCTCTAGTTTGCATCCTGAAAACACTGTTGATTTTAAATTTAATTTCTGAAAATATTTTTCCAGACGATTAATTTAGAAAACAGTTCTGGAATGTTAGAAATGGTTTACATCTTCAGCATACAAAGCGAAATAAGAGTATTCAGTAAATTCCAGAGTCTGAACTTGTAGAGTTAGCTTTTGAGGGTTTTTCAGATGAGTTGAAGAAAATAGCTGATAAGCAAGGTGTGTTACAAATAGGGAGAAAAATCCAGTTTTTATGGAAGGTATAAATGGCATATACTGATGACAGTGTTAGCAAAATGAGTGGTATGATATTGTTATAAATCAGAATAAGAATTTTTTTTTTTTTTTAATACTAGTTAGTCTAGTAGAGTGTAATGCTGAACAGCCAATTCTGAATGTTAGGAGGAAAAGCTATAAAATAAGAAGTCAAGTTGTTGTTAAATAAGCAAAATTTTATTGAAAAGGGGTGTTACAAATTGCTAAGAGACCAAAGAATACAAAAGATAATGTCATGCAGAGCTGGAAAGATATTGATCTTGAATGTATTGCTTTATGTCGTTCGAACTACGAGACTTGGGAGGGAAGCGGAGCTGCATGTGGTCGGTGGTTGTTGATCTGTGTTCTGTGCGATGGAATAACGCTGAGCTTAGGCCTTGATCTCACAAACACAGGCATTATTGACTTTAAACGTGTCCCAGGTAGTTAATGGTTTTATGCTTAAATATGACAGCAGTGTTTTAAAAAAACACACGAATTTGTCTGTTTGCTGCTAGTCTCCCTTTTAAAGTAGTAGTGACATATGACTGAATTACAAGAAATAACCACATATTAAAAAAACCCAACCCAATAGCATTTCTTGATATGGTGATGTGAATTCAGAAGCTTGTAAATGTTGCAATAATAAAATCTAAATCTAGAGATTTCGGTAATACCTTTGTTACTTTTCACAGAGAATAAAAAGGAACAATTATTATTCAAAATAAAGCATGGGTGGATTGACATAGCCATAGAAAGCTTTGAAATAGGAAAGTAATACTAATATATCTTGGTTATGAAAGTATATTAATTTTAAATAATCCTGCTTCAGAGAAGCAATGACAGAATATCAGGCAAATATGTGCTAAGGCGGCCCCAAACAGTTTCGCCTCTGAAACTGCTGTTTGATTAAGATAAAGGAACTATTCACTGCCAGCCAGAAAAATCACAGGCCATACACTAAAAAAGAGACAAATGATGTGATGCAGTAGAATAATTGTTACACAGCTTCTGGAAACTAAAAGGCAACTCAAGTGTGGATGATTTCTTATGCAAACATACCGGACATTTATTGTACTCTTAAGACTTTCTGAAGGCCAGAAGTCCATCTGCAGCATGCTTGATGGCTCACGAAATACTTAGTGTGCTCACCGTGTCTGGTTTGGCAAACCAAAAAGGTGAACGTCTACAGTTTCTTTTTCATTCAAGATCCCTTACCCTCTGCACACAATACTGTTTTTAAGGCGATGGTTCTCAAAACAGGGATCACAACCCCAAATGGGATCGTCCAAGTAGCAAAGCAGGAGATGGTTTGGCCACCAGTAGTGAGATAATGAGCCTAAAGGTCAAATGAAGTAAAATCACAAACTAAAAGTCTTACAACTTGTGGTAAACAAGTTGATCCCTGTATGCTTCTAAATTTGTTTTATAATCAGCTTTTTTTTTATTCATTTAACATGATTGGCAGATGTATTTTACTGTGCGAACGCATGGAAATCTGAACAGGCTTTGTTCAAAAAGTGTACAGTCAAAAACATCGGTCCATCTGGTTGATTTGATCCTCAGATTTTTTTGACTGTCAGATTTGCTCACGTGAAAGCACATTTACAGGAACTTGTGAAAATAGCACAGATGTTAAATACAAATTTAGTCAGACAGCTTGTAACAATTGCCTGTTAGCACAACATATTTCTATAGGTTTTAGATATTGGTATCAAAATTGATTGATAGTTGTCATAAATATTTCATTGACAGAAATTTTGAATTAATTCACTACAGAAAATCGGTTCCAAATTTCCCTTCCTTCAGCCTTTCCCCCAGTGCCCCTCAGCATCACCCATTGCCTTTGTGCTTTCAGTATGGTCACACTTGGTAACTTCCATATTCCCTGTGAGAATTTAATTCTCTTAGCTGCTCCTTTACCTTCTTTTGAACAAGTTTGCTCGATATTTCATTATCTAGTCTTCATTTCTGTCTCTTTTTCATTTTTTGTTCGGAATGTGTAATCCAGGTTCTTTTCCTTAACTTTGATCCATTCTTTGATGGATCTGTGTCCTATATTCAAAATATAATACAAAACATTGTGTCTTCTTGTGTCTTGTGCTGCAATTTATTATGTCTTCTGTTTCCTCACTCAGTATGCAGTGTTACCCTCCTCCTCCTTGGCTTTTGATCCTGGCTTTTTCAGAAGACGAGATTTTGACTCTTCTTGTAGGTCTAGCTGTACTACCTGATTCTTGTTGCAAGATTCCTTG